GCGCACATGGCGAGACTTGTGCATCGGAACCCTCTCCAGCAACAGCCCCACGGCAATGCAAGAAAGGCGGAAAAAGTCACCACAGCAAGTGCGGGTGATCGGACATGCAAGAAATGACAGCGAACCTTTCCGTCTCTTCAGTCTTTTCAACAACATTGTGAGTCGATCAAGCACAAGCCACTTAGTGCTCTAAGCTGTCCCATAGGGAAAGGATGCAAAAGAAAGTTCAGTGCACCGTCGGCTCTGCTGCACCATCTGGAAAGTGGAAAGTGCTGTTCAGGCATGGACCGTGATGACATCTACGACATCATTCAGCTATACGACAAAGATCACACGATCCACACCCTCCCAAAACTCACGCCTTCGAGCTCCACTTACTTGTCGGCACATGGTTTATCTCCTGATTCTGGAACGCCAACAGCGTCTCTCGATAGTTCAGATGGCTGGCTACTGGTCACTCCCACACACTCTCAGGGTAGTGTAGAGGGTAGTCTAGTAGATTGGACACCGCTTGAGGATAGTCGTCTCTCGCTTGGAAGTAGACACGTGATTGACGGAATTAAGCCTGAACTCCGTTGTCCACTTTGTCCAAGGAAGTCCAAAGCCTTTCGTACGATACAGGCTCTTCAGCAGCACATAGTATCTCCAACACACTGTGATAAGGTCTACATACCACTGCCCACGTAACCTCCTCTCAATCAACTCCAGCAAGGCTGAAACAAAGCAAGGAAAAGCAAAGCAATTTACAACTCTCAGTGGACTAGCTCAGCATTTAGAGAGTGGGCCCTGCCATGGTGGCAGGCAGACGTTCCTGCGTTGTATTGAGTTGGGATTTTCATTACAGACTTATAGCAACAGCGAGCAACTAGCGCTAAATTACATTAATATCTTGGACATGTTCATCAGCGTGTTCCTATTGCAATAACCTATAGCTGCTGCTGTGCGCCCCTCTCGAGCAGTAGCTTCACGATCGACTCATGGCCTCCATATGAAGCTACCTGGAGTGCGTTACCAAACTGTCCACCCTGCGCGTTAACGTCTGCGTCTTTGTCTAGCAGTAGCTTCACAATCTGCAAGTTGCCTTTATATGAAGCCGCCTGGAGTGCATCGCCATACCTCCACCCTAACCGTCACCGGCGGCATCCTTGTCGAGAAGCAGTTTTACCATCCCTTTATGCCCCTGCTCTGCTGCCACGCACAGAAGCCAATACCAGTCATTTGCGCCTTGGTCATCGGCTCTCTCTTCGAGCAACTTTTGAGCCGTTGCCTCTTGGCCATGTCGGGCAGCTCACCATAACGCCGAGCTTTCTGAATGTCGTATGTTGTAACGGTAGAGATAACTGTTTAGCAAATGATAAAGGCGACGGTTGGTTTATGCAAATGCGTTGATGTCTCTCTCTAATTGCAGGTTTTCCGATATAGAGCAGAGTAATTCATTCGCCAGGTGAAGAAGCGGCATCTCGAAGTATGTAGGATGGCTGTGTCAAGGCTAGTTTCGACGCTGGGTAAGCGTCGTGGCCGTGCTTATCTTGGCACTACTCTCAATCTTGAGTCGGGTTAATTATGTTCCGAGCGCTTGTACAATCCGCAGAGCCACAGACCTCATAGTAAATTGTCTGTGGATAATAAGGCCAGAAATGCGGGGTCATTTTGCATTAGCTAGGATGAGTGATTTAGTTCTTATTGTTAGACGTAGTAGTTAGTCGACATGGCAGCCCTACATAAGCGCGCATAGGACTAATAGTGACTTCATGCTACGAAAGGGAAATTTTAGGGATTAGGCAAGGTCATTCTACGAAAATTCAGAGCGATAGAGACTTGAGGTTGGCGCTATAGAGAGGGAGGTCTATTAGACCTCGAAAGAAGGAGCTGTACAAACTAGGCTAGGAAATCACAATGCAAACGTGATTTTAGAGAATTCAGTGCACGAGGTCATTTCTGTAAAATTATGGCAATATTCGTTGTACGCATAAGCTTTCTGGTTGCTGAAAGTCGAAGTATCTTTCGTTTGTCTCGCCACGTAGTGTCTCGCTACGCAGTAAGGGACGTTAGAGACGATCTCAAGACAAGCAAATCCGTCAGAAGTGGCTGTTTTAGACAATCAATTTCTAAAATATTATCTGCTGCACTAAGAGCGCACGACAATGCTGTTAATGCAGCAATAAGGCGTGTTTGATCAAGCTATTTACAGCCTTGATAACCCTTACTTTACCTATGCAAGACTTCCGCGTTTGAGATGATGTATGTCTTCAACCACTGTGCTACCTTGTTTGCTTCTCCGTGCATTGAGTAACAGGACACGTCCTCAATGTCTTCCTTTGAGGGGTTACATCGGAAAAAGAAAACCATATGCGTAAGGCTGTCGTAAACAGCGTGATACAGGTCAGGATCATCCCTCGTGCTCCTATACAAGATTGCCTGGGAACAGACCGCCTTTGCGTTCTCGACGTCTGTATTGGTACCCGTGATCGCCATGTGGAAGCAGTAGGTGCTCTCGTTCTTGATAACTATGACTATAACTTCAGAGTCTCCTTGTCCCGGCTCTTCGATATAGGTAGTATAGTTTTGGTTGGTCTCATGCGAGAGCTCAAGAACACATTGAGCTATCAGGCCATGTAGGCTGTTTCGAGTTACTCTCCCAGAAAGCCACCTAGGATAATATTCATCCTACCTCGGCATCGCGTGGTAGAACAACTGGCTGTAGCTTTCCGCAGTCAACCTCTAGGGGCGCAAATTTTAGGTCGAAGGCCAGTGTGGCTCCGCAAGCCAATACAAGTACTAAAATAGAGAGCAACTACGTCGCTGTAGTAGAGAGATCCCCATGGAAGTACAGCTCATATATCTGTCTAGACACGAAAACGAGAACTGTCTCACAAGAATGCTGGAAGAGTGACAACACGTTGTTAGCAAACACGACAATGATGCAGCTAACCGTTTGTTGAGGAAGCACACAACACGGTTACCAACACTAGGGACATTTTGATTGAACAACTCAGGCCACCTGTGAAAAGCTCAATCGCTATGTCAAGTTTTGGATTTTCTTCATAATCCAAGACGACAATCTAGGTCTAGCAGCAACTGTAAGAACGTCTAGGGGACACAGTTCCGTGAATTTCTTGAGCATGTCGTTGCAAGTGCGTCTTGTCTACCAAGCGCACCATACAAAGCTTGCAGCCAAGATCCCTCCCACTCTGGATGTTTTTTAGGTGCTTACGTCCAAAATGCTTGCTAAGATCGCCTGGAGTGCTAAAAGCATATATGCGCTGTGCCAGCGGCAGCCCTTCATTGCCTAGGCAAAGGAAACATACCCTCGGCCTTTTTTCCTTGTACACAGAGACTTTGGCTAACTCTACTGCTTCTTCCTCGTATCCTGGTTGGCTCTTGGCGGGTAGGGCAGCGTTCCTGTTTCGGTCCCCTTTTCGGATAGGGTTCATCCCCCCCTCTTCCATGCCACAATATAGGGTGACCGCATGGATAGCGCAATTACGCCTGGCGACCTCCTCTTCCATAGTGGCTCCTGGTTTCGACAAGACTGAGTCGCATAGCTTTTCTTGGGCTGGGAGCATAATGTCGTAAACCAGCTCCAGATCATCATTAGTTTCTAACCCAGCAAGCTGCCGCTCGACATCACGCACAGGCTGCTCAAACTCCCACCGTTCTTTAACGTCCTTGAGAAGGGCGTGCCGCCGACGCTGCCTCTCCTGGTTAATCTTGGTGGTGAGCGCTTTGTACGTGGGCTGTTTTGTTGCATTACGAACGGTACGTTTGAGGCGCTCTCGTTGGTTGAGAAGAGAGCAGATAGAAGGATCATCGTCTACAGATGCAGACTGCTCCTCCGTGAGTCTTCGTGGCCGACGACGATCAATCGAGCGGCTCATAGTACAAGCCGACCGCATGAGGGCTGCTTGCGGCTGGATGCCTCTTACAACAGCCTGCGTATCAACTGTAATACGTCGCGAAAGGTAATGCTTCAAAAATGTCGCGATGCTGGCATGACCCATCATCAGGTTCTGCATAGCCTCACTAACATTACCTACACGGTGCGTTAAGACTACATCCTGCATTATGCAACTTAGATTGAATAGATAGACTTACCGTTTTCGTTGAACGCCTTCCCTCCGGCGTATCTCAGCGAATAAGGACGGGTGACTTGAGCAAATCCCGTGATCTCACCCAAAGTCCGGATCCATGGAAGTAGGGTGGAGTAGGGGAGAGGTTCGGTAGGGGAGACATCCCAACCATTCAGAGTCTGCACCGCTTTCCGAAACACGGGAACATTGTCCAACGTCCGATTCAGGCGTAATGGGAGCTCGTTGCGGCCTGGCGGAATCTTGAGTCTGCTCAATTCTTCTGGCGAGGTTAGATTATAGGCTGCAAACGCCCGATCGCGGAAGAGCAGGCCAAGGAGGAAGACGTGGGGACTGAAGAGGAGCGTCTGATCGAACATAATCTCAGGAAGGGGGAAGGTGTTCCTTAAGGAAAAGTCCATTAGCGCATGATTTTCTTGTACACAATGATCACGTACAGGTCTTTGATACCAAGAAACTCTTTTGTAAATTCAAAAGTGAACTCCAGCAGTACTCGATGAGGGCCACCCTCAGGATCACGTAGAAGTGTAACTTGTATATGGCGATAACAGAGACTGAGGAGAGCCTGGGGCCGGTTCGCTGTAAACCCACCAAGTTGTAGATAGAGCTGGGCTTGTATCCTATAGCGACCGTGAGGATATCTCTTTTCGGTTGTTACTAGATTCGTTGCAGAACTTGAGCCAG